CACAACGCCCGGCTATTTTTTTGTTGCAGTTTGGCCAGGGCCGGGTTTGAACCCGCCACCCTCGGTATATGGGGCCGGTGCCCCACCCACTGAGCCACAGGCACCGCCCCCAAGCTAGTTTTTCTATTTTTAGTAGCGACAGGGTCTCTTGCTCAGGCTGTTCTTGGAACTCCTGAGCTCAAACGATCCACCCGCCTCGGCCCGCCAGAGTGCAGGGAGTACAGGCGTGAGTCACCACGCCGGAAAGCATGGATTCTAAAGACGAGCGCCTATGTTCTTTTTTTTCCTGGAGAGTAATCTCCAAGATCATTTCAGAATTTCAACATCGGCTTAACTCATGTATGCCAAAAATAAAATAGCTGAGGCTTAGCCTAGGTCACTTCCACCTTCCAATGCAGTGAATATTCTCCGTGACGTTCCCTATTATCTAATGCCTGATACTTTTCTGCATTATCTGTGAGGAGGATACCGGGAAGTCTTCATTACCGCTATCGCTGCTGGGCGGACCCGGAGACGCAGCTTGCCTCCGCACGGCCGCCCGCTGGAAGGGAGGGGTCGGCCGTCTCCGGCTGCGAGGTGCCGAACGGACAGCTCCTGCCAGGCCGCACAGTCCAGTTCGAAATTCTTACCCATATTTAGACTCGTGACCACCCCATCCCTGGGAACAGCCGGACAGGTCATTCATTAAAGGAAGTGGCTCCTGTCAGCTCCTGACCCGGAATCGGATCCCAGTCCCGCCCCCTCAGCGCCAGGCTTCCTTCTGCAACAGGCGCAGGTCACGCTCTCGCTCGCTCTCTTTCTGCCGCCATCTTGGTTCCGCGTTCCCTGCACAGTAAGTGTTTTCTGCGCTGCTACTCTCTATCCACAGCCATCCGCCTTTCTTTCGACCTAAGCCGCCCCGGGGATTGAGAGTTAAGGGGAGTTGGAGGTCTTATGGAGCTACAGGGTTCCTACTCGCCCCTAGGCCTCCGGCCAAAATGGGGTCTGCTGTTGGTGTCCTGGCAAAAGCAGGACAGAAGGGCTGCGGACCGGGGCCTGGAGAGGCGGGAGCAGTTACAATGTGGGGGCCGAAGCGGAGGGCGTCTGCTATTGTGAACGGTTTCACAAGATGCGGAGGAGGTTAAGGGGTCGCAACCTTAGAACCCCATCACCGTCCTTATTGTGACAAGCAAGTACTGGGACATAAGGCACTCTCTTTCCCTTCCTGGCTCCTGAAAGACGGCGGACGGTAATCAGCACATTTTAAAGTAGCTTTCAGAGCATTTTACTCTGAGGCCCCCACACAGTAGGTGTGAATGTTAGGAGTCCCCCGGGGCCGGGAGCCAGACCGAGATCCTCCCTGGGTTGATAATAGAGTGATGATTGCTGGCCTTGTGGGATTTGGAGTGTGGACAAAACGAATCCCTCACACTGGGGAGTCGCTCGCTGCCGAGTGCAGAGGCTCACTCGCAGAGTGATTCGCTTGATAGAGATCTGAGGGGTCACGTCATATTTCCCACCCAACCTTTCCACCAGGTTCTGTGGAAAGGGTTGTCTCCAAATAGCCTCTTGATTTTTTTCTAACAATCCTCCGCAGAGTTTTTAAGAATACTTAACTCTGGGTTGGGCAAGTGAATGCATCCTAGCCAATTCAGGCCTCCTTTTTATTCCCTTCAGACATGCCTGGTGAAGCCACAGAAACCGTCCCTGCTACGGAGCAGGAGTTGCCACAGCCTCAGGCTGAAACAGGTCGGTTCCCTTAGCCAGCCCTTTTTGCTTAGTTAACATTGAGGCTAAGGTCACTTGGTGAGTAAAGTGAAGAGAAGAAATACACTCTGCCTTTTGGAGTTAACTGTTGTAAAAATGATGGGGTTGCAGCTTACCAGTAAGGGTGGACTGTAAAATTATCCTGGAGGAACTTCTTTATGGGCATGGAATAAAAATTATTTTTAAGATTCATGGACATTTCATACTTCCCTTACCTGTTTTGTGTATTTTGCCTTCTGCCTCAAAAGAAGTTCTGCTGTGAAATCTCCACTTCATTTAGGAAAACTTAGCAGGGAAAGGGCTGAGTGATTCTTACCTTTTGAAAGTGGACGACACACAGACAGTCCAAGGAGACCTGAGCATTTGTGAAGTTCCAGCCAGCAAGTTGCATCAAGGTTTTAGATAGCAGAGCTTGGCATTGTGCCTTCATCACATGTCTGGATGAGATGTGTGCTGGTGGTAAATGTGCCCTTCTGGGCCTCAGAGTCCTCAGAAAAGTTGTTTCAGGGCTGATGTTGAGGTATTTCCAGTGTGCTGGAATAGCACCTGTATCATTGTCTAGAACCCAGGATTGAAGTAAATCCTTTGCTCTTAAACGTTGAAATTAATGGGAATAGAATATAGTGTCAGGGCAAGTTTTGAATTGTGATTAAAGCTCATCTTGGTAGGAAAGACAAAGTAGTGAAAAAGTTTTAAGGGGGATGGTCTTTCTGAGTCAGTAACATGGAGAATCCACCCCATCCTCACTTCCCTCCCCGCCCAAGACAGTATTTCACTTTAGTCCCAGGCCAGGGTGCCATGGCACTATGGCATCAGCCTAACTCACAGCAACTTAAGACTTCTGGATTCACATGATCCTCCTGCCTCAGCTTCTCTATTGGCTGAGGCTACAGGTGCCCTCATTTTCCTATTTTTAGTAGAAACGAGGTCTCTTTGCTCAGGCTGGTCTTGAACTCCTGAGCTCCTGATCCTCCCACCTCACTCTCCAGAGTGCTAGGATTGTAGCAAGAGCCTCACCTTTTTTTTTTTCCCAACAGTCTTTTAATGTTTATAAATATGCAAAACTAAATGATACTGTATTTTTTTCCTCACTTTTTTTAATGGTAAATTTTTTTTAATTACACTAGTTATTTAAAGCAATTACTGTCTCCTTTTGGAATTAAAATAGAACTGTTTATAGTTGAGGTTCTCCCTTCCCACCTGTCTGATTTTAGCAGCTGAAGGGATTAATACAGCTGCTGGAGAAAAGAAAGGAGGGGCCCTCCTAAACTAGGATTGAAGTACAAGAAATGTAAGGAAGGAAGAAAACTAAAGGGACTGATCTCTAAAGATGTTGTAATTTCGGTGCTAAACAAAATTTTACAGATGGTGTCGTCAAACAATTTACAAATAATGGAGATGAAAATTTATTTATTTGTTTTTGAGACAAGAGTCTCACTATGCCCTAGGTAGAGTGCTCTGGCATCACAGCTCACAGCAACCTCAAACTCTTGGGCTTAAGCGATTCTCTTGCCTCAGCTTCCCAAGTAGCTGGGACTACAGTTGCTGCCACAGCATGCACTATTTTTTGTTGTTGTGGGGTGTTAGGTTGCCGGTACCCTAACTACTGAGCTATGAGTGCCATGCCTAGACTAGAATTTAGATGAATTTGGAATCATTTGATTCAAGCTTCAAAACTAATGCCAATTATTTCTCAAGCAGTCCTTTAAGTAGTGCTGTTAAATGTATTGCTGAATATTCTGAGTTTGTATAGTATGTAGTTTATATTAAGGGAGTATCTGATAAATATTCAGGATTTTGTCTATAGCAATAATTAAATGGTCTGTTTGAATGAAGAAGCTAGTTCAGAAAATTGGCTATGGTGTCAGAGCATATAAGAAAAGGTATTAAATGTTTTAAATTCTAGTATATTTGAAAGTACTTATGTGTAATCATGAGATTTTGACCTACCAACTCTACAGGAAAAACCGGTTGAGCTGCTTGTCTTTTCTGTATCAGAATACTATAAAGATTTCAGAATTATTGTGGAGTGAATTGTAAATTTGGATGTTAAGGCTTTTTCCCCTCCTTAAACTCTTTAGTCACTGAGCTAATCGCTAATTCTGTGTTATCTACGGAATGACAGACATGGTGGGTTTTTTTCTTTTTGTTTGGGTTCTTTTTTGGAAACAGTCTCACTTTGTAATTCCCAGTAGAGTACTCTGACGTCATAGCTCACAGCAAGCTCAAACTCTTGGGCTCAAATGATTCTCTTGCCTCAGCCTCCCAAGTAGCTGGGACCATAGATACCTGCCCCACCACCCAGCTATTTTTAGAGATGGGGTCTCCCTCTAGCTTAGGCTGGTCTCGAACTTGTGAGCTCAGGCGATCCACCCACCTCAGCCTCCCTAAGTGCTGGGATTACAGGTGTGAGCCACCATGCCTGGCTCTCATGGTATTTTGTTCATCATTCAGAAAATTTTTATGCTGCCGTATACTGATCTGTTTTGACAGAATAAAATACCCTGATTATAGAGTTGGGAAATCCAATGTGACTTATTCTCTCCACTCAAATTCTTTGCTTCCAAAATAGAAGCACAGTCTGGTTTAACAAGTTGGGTTATAGTTTTATAAGTCCTTCCCTGCCCTTGTGACTACGCTCCCTCCCTGGAAGTTTGATTCATTTTGTATTAATGTGTGAAGAGCTAACATTACCTAGAAAGGTCTGTAGAGTCTGTTGAGTCCAACTCTTCTGTGGTTTTTGTTTTGTTGAATAAGTAAACTTTGGTGAAGTATAAAGAGGCTAAGTGACTTAATACATAATATTTAATGTTAAATTCTAAAGAGTTTTCAACTTTAGGGAAAACTTGTGCCTGGCACAATTCTAAAATTATATTCTAAGAGCCTCATTTTTCCTAACCTAGTGGAAACCTGAGAGTAAAAAAATTTGTTTTCTCTTATTCATCTCTGATTCCCCATCATTATCACTGCTCACTACCTTCCTTCGTCCAGTTTTCAGTATCTGTTTCGGCTAGTTTATGATCCTTGGGTGGAGAGAGTAACACAGCTGTTCTAGCTATGAGAAAGACTTGGGAATGAGGTTTATTTCAAGAAGCAAGGGTAGGGTGCAACTGGGAAAAAAAAATAGAAGGCATATTGTGTCCATCGCACCCTAGGGCCTGTGCTCCCCTTACAGAGATAGGCTTCTGTTAGACTGTTCTCCCCCTTCCTCGGTTGATTTGTTTTGGTAGAATATGGGGAGTAGAAGTATGGGAAATGAGGAGAGAGATTTCTTTTTACTTTACTGAAAAATGTTTGGGAAAGGTTGGTGTTGCCTGTCACCTTTGTCTAATCAAGTATGGTGACTTTCAGTCTCATTTAAAATTTCAGCGTTTCCTGTGAGGCATGTTGTACCAAGCTGGGCCAGATAACTCACTTTTTTTTCCCCTTCCCTTTATCTTCCTTTTCGCTTTTTTCCTCCAGCTGTGCTTCCTGTGTCCTCAGCCTTGAGTGTCACTGCTGCCTTAGCGCAGCCTCTACCTACTCTTCCCTCACCTTGTTCCCTGACCCCCCAACAAAGCCCTCTGGCAACTGCTGACCAGCCTCCCTCATTCCCTTCCCCCTCTGTTGTTGCTTCCACCCATTCTGAAATTCCTTTTCCCCAGTCATCCTGTGGAACAGCCCTGCCTTTGGGAAATGCCTCTGATACCCCAATTTTCCTACCACACCTTGTAGGACCTCCCATCTCCCCAGCTGCCTTAGCTCTGGCCTCTCCCATGATAGCTCCAACTCTAAAAGGGGCCCATTCCACTCCCTTGGCTCTGGTTGCCTTAGCTCCTCACTCAGTTCAAAAGAGTTCTGCTTTTCCACCTAATCCTCTTAGTTCACCTCCTTCAGTTACTGTAGCTGAGTCAGGGTCAGTGATATCTCCATCACCTCCCACTGTTCCCTCAGAACAGCCTTCTATTCACGTTCCCTCCCAGGTAGTCCCTAATCCAGAAGGTACCCCAAGTCCTCCGGGTAGAGTCAGTGTTGTTCCTTCCCACCTTGTAACACCTTTGGCGGCCTCTCAGTCTGGAGTAGCCTCCTGTCCTCAGATACCACCTACACCCACCACTACACTAGCCATTACTTCCCTTCAGGTCAAAGATAACCCCATTCCCTCAACTACTTCTCCACAAAACCCAGGAAGCCTCAACCTAAAGGAGCCTGTTGGTCTACCTGCAGCCTTATCTCTTTCAACCCAGTCAATGCCTGTAATGACCTCTTCTCAAAAGACTATGGCTCCCAGCATTCTCCCAGTTTCTGCTTCTTTGGGCTCTCGTCTTGCACCTTTACAACAGAGTTCCTTTGGTTCTCTTGTCCAACCTCTGGGTCAGACAAGTCCTAATCTGTCAGATCCTACGGTAAATACTGTTTCTGTAGCTCATTCTTCCAAGGGGCCCTCTTATCCTCAGAGATCTGTAGTCCCTCCCCTTCCTTCCAAAAGTGAGGTAGTTCCTGCTGCTGTGGCTACTTTTCCTCTGGCTCCATCTGTTGGCAAAGGCCATTCTACCATCACTAGCATAATCCCCCATAATTCTTCTGGTTCCTCAAACCTATCTCCTACAGCCTCTCTCATTCTCGAAAGCTCCCCTAACACTCATTCTTTGGTGGCCCAGATTCCTACTTCTCCAGAAAGTCCGGGCTTAAAAGAAACTCCTGTTTCTTATGTTGGAACCACCCCACTTGTGATAACTAACCCCTCTACAATGTCTACAGCATCTATTGAGGTAGCTGCTTGTGTCTCTCCAGTTTCATCAGGTCTCAAAGGTAGTAAAGAACAGACTTCCCCTACTACCTTGGTTGTGACAACTTTGGCACCCAAAGAGCTTCCTACTCAAGTAGCAACCACTCTAGGGACACCAGTTTCTCCTTTGCCAGACTCTGAAGACTTCAAAAAAGTCCCCACTTCAGTATTGGTAAAATTCCCAACTCAAAAAGATCTCCAGGCCATACCTGCC